ATGTTAAAGCGCTAGCTTAAAACATGGGTGATGCAACATCATCCCAGAGATCTTATTTGGCAGAACAGTTTGACCTACAGAACAGTTACTGTGTTTGGTCTGTTATGAAATTAGACTCTCCTTGTCCACTAACACGTCATCAGGCAAATTACTTTTACAGAGGAGGAATCCCAAATGTATGTGTAAAGTGGTAAAAATAAATGTTGCTAGATGTGGCAGACATTTTATAGATAAAACGATAAGTAGTATATCGTTTTTAAACGTGTGCATGCTTTTCTCCTGAGGACGGTCTTTTGACCAAATGACAATCTCCCCGAATTCACAGGAGAACTGAGGAGGTGGTCAGTAATGTGGGGCTATTGTCACTCCATTTTCCACACTGTGAGGTGCCACATTTCACAGCCACCAGGGAACCATACTGCAGAACCACTTCCTGACTGATGAAAAGAGTTGGGTTGCGTCCCAAATAGCACCATATACCCTATATAAAGCACAACTTTTGACCAGGGCCCATAAGGTTAAAAGTAGTGCATTTATAGGGAATAGGATACTATTTGGGATGTAGCCTGGGAGGCTTTTAAACTCTCCTACCAAGGCAACTTTTATACAAAGTTGTAAAGGTGATTGTTTGCCAGATCACAAGGGTTCCTATCTCAGCTATTTGTAATGAATAAGAAGTTATTGCAGGAGTCAAGACAGGAGGTGTATGTAAGAATAGGTTTTTAGCCTCGCTCAAAGAATGGCATGAAATAACCAATGTGACACAGATGCTCCTTGTGGAATGATTATAATACCATTATATCCACACTTTAAAGCAAAATCGGTCATTATAACTTTGTGGTTTTGTTGGATTTACCACTCTCAAATGGCATGTCAACGCTTTTAGGGAAAGTGCCGTATTAAGAAATGTTTCCCTCACAAAAAAGTAATGATTGACTTTATAATCTCATGGAGCATTGATGTCATAACAAAATCGAGATAGAACAAATGTTCTTTGTATTTACTCTTGTGCTTGTTGCACATAGTCCTAGGACTCCGGAACTCTCCTCTCATAGAGTACCATAGGATGAGTCATAATACCCATAAAACCTAGCGGTCAAACAAGGAAATGGTTCCAATCGTTTTTCCACCATTCATTTTTCCCATAGGGAATTTTAGAAACACTTAAAATAAGGGCTGTGTTTCGTGTAGACTTACCCTGGCGTGACGTTTTGATAACCGTGTAAATCTCTCTAGGACAAGGTGACTTTTATCAATATATTTGCCTGTATTTACCCCACAAAAATGAAATGCTAATTAGCTGCTAATATGGCTATCATAAAGAACTACAAATGGCTTGATGATCTGGACGAGACTGCCAAATCGAGGCATAAGTAAGAATCTCTGGATTAACTATCTAATGTTAGCTACATTTAGTAATGAATACATTGGCTACATTTCTTTAAATTAACAATTCTGTGAACTGTCTTGTGCAAGTTAACAATACCTGATAGCAAAGGTGTCAGCTAGAAATCAAATCAAATCAAATTTTATTTGCCACATGCGCCGAATACAACAGGTGTAGACATTACAGTGGTGGTAGCCATGATTAGCTGTTCAGGAGTCTTATGGCTTGGGGGTAGAAGCTGTTAAGAAGCCTTTTGGACCTAGACTTGGCGCTCCGGTACCGCTTGCTGTGCGGTAGCAGAGAGAACAGTCTATGACTAGGGTGGCTGGAGTCTTTGACAATTTTTAGGGCCTTCCTCTGACACCGCCTGGATGTACTGGGCCGTACGCACTACCCTCTTTAGTGCCTTGCGGTCGAAGGCCGAGCAGTTGCCATACCAGGCGGTGATGCAACCAGTCAGGATGCTCTCGATGGTGCAGCTGTAGAACTTTTTGAGGATCTGAGGACCCATGCCAAATCTATAGGCTTTGTCGTTCCCTCTTCACGACTGTCTTGGTGTGTTTGGACCATGTGTGGTCCTCTGTAGCTCAGCTGGTAGAGCACGGCGCTTGTAACGCCAAGGTAGTGGGTTCGATCCCCGGGACCACCCATACACAAAAATGTATGCACGCATGACTGTAAGTCGCTTTGGATAAAAGCGTCTGCTAAATGGCATATTATTATTATTATGATAGTTCTTTGGTGATGTGGACACCAAGGAACTTTAAGCTCTCAACCTGTTCCACTACAGCCCCATCAATGAGAATGGGGGCGTGCTCAGTCCTCTTTTTTTTCCTGTAGTCCACAATCATCTCCTTTGTCTTGATCACGTTGAGGGACAGGTTGTTGTCCCGGCATGTGCAGGAGCTTGCAGGAATTTGTAGTCTTGCATGATGCCTACTTTGATGCTAATTAGAATGTTCAAATCTGAGAGTAAATAGAGCCGAATGTATTTATAAAAGTCACCTTGTCCGAGAGAGATGTACATGGTTATCAAAACGTCACGCCAGGGTAAGCCTGGGAAAAATGAATGGTGGAAAAACTATTGGAACCATTTCCCTGTTTGACCGCTAGGTTTTATGGCTATTATGACAACTCCACTGTGGGGCTCTATTAGGTAGCGCTTTGATTTTTCTCCTCTCATTGGGTAGCTCTTTGGGTTCTCTCCTCATTGGGTAGCTCTGGGTTCTCTCCTCTCATTGGGTAGCTCTTTTGGTTCTCTCCTCATTGGGTAGCTCTGGGTTCTGTCCTCTCATTGGGTAGCTCTTTGGGTTCCCTCCTCATTGGGTAGCTCTGGGTTCTCTCCTCTCATTGGGTAGCTCTGGGTTCTCTCCTCTCATTGGGTAGCTCTTAGGGTTCTCTCCTCTTATTGGGTGGCTCTTTGGATTCAGTTTTTTGAGCCCATTTTGATTCCATCTCCAGTCAGACAGTTAGCTGCGGCATCAAGCAGAGTCTGGGACAACAGCTGTTGTCATGGGACAGACACATAGAGTGACTGACAGACAGCCACAGGTGTTGGCCCCCCCAGTTTTTCCCCAGGCATCACAGGGTTGCCAGGCAAGCAGGCCCCTGCTAGATAGTTGGTCACTTGGACATTTGGCTTCAGTGTAAAGCCCCAGCAGGTGTGTGTGTGTGGAATCATCACTGTTGGCCCTTTCTTCAGGGTGTGTTTTGAGTGATCTTGCTATCACCAAGAATAAGAGATACATGAGTGAGTGAGAAAGGAATCATCACACATGAATACTATGAGACTTGATTTTATTCATTCAATGTATTATTAATGGCATCACTGGAGTAAATTGCACCTGGGCTAGGACATAAACCAGGGGTTCCCAATCCCGGCCCAGGAAGGCATCAGTATGTGAACGCTTTTGTTCCAGCCCTGGCTTAACACACCTGATACAGACCAGTCATATGAATGAACACTACATATCGAACCATGACGTCTGTGTAGGGTTGGGCGATATGACCAAAATATCATATCACAATATTTTTCACATTCTAAATATGCTTTGAGTAGTTCATGACCCTAGGGTGGCAATACATACATTAAAAGTGATTTCAATGGGTCTTTCTCCATTCTGATTGTTTTATCCAACTTGAAACAAAAACACATTTCAGCATTTCCTGCACTTTTGTTATAATTTCCACACTGTTCCAAGCAGAGCTGCATGATATCGGCAAAAATATGGGCATAGTTAATAGTGAATTGGTGAACTGTTGGAATCATGGAAATATAATTATTAATCTAATTCTATCGTTGGAATATAGTGGAGAGCACATTGAATACATGGTTGTTTACATGACAATGAATGAATAAGCCAGGGAGGAATTGACAGGACAGGAACCAAAGTGTTGGTCAGTGTTTCCAGGGTACCCTAATTATATGTTACATTACATGTTTTCTTACCTCATCTCATGTAGCTAGCTAGCTAACATATCCATGCTTCGCCTATTCTTCTCTGATTTAGAAGATACCATTGCACAAACAACATGATTATCTAGGCCTACACCAGCACTGGTACCAGGCAAAATATTTGTATAACTAACCCAAGATAGACCACAGCCTATGTTTCCAATGGGAGCAAATTAATCATAATGGGCAAAACAAGCAAGGAGGTGGGCAGAGCCAAGCACGAGCTAACAAGATCCTGTTGACGCGTTCTAGAATGTATTTGCATTTTTCTGTTAGAGAATGCCTACTCTGTGAAGTGTGCGTGTCCAATAATTCAATTCGTCCTTGCACTCCTTCTAAACAATGCCATTTTTAAAAACTTTGGCAAAGGGTAAAGTCTGCTAAACTTAGTCCACTCTGTTCGTAACAAATTATAGTTTTGGGAACAGAACTGTATTGCGATCAAATGTTTAATCGATGAGAAAATTTGCAAAATGTCGGCCAAAATCCAATTCGCTCCATCTTCTCCCACTGCCGACAACTGGGCTTCCTCTCATCACCATATTTGGTGGTTAGTGGAAACGCCAACCGGATGGTTCAGATTTATACATCCTGTGAAACATCTGGCTCATTGTTCTATATGTGACCAGGCTGTATTATCTAGCTATGTTTGCACTGACTCTTAGTACATTTAGGAAGCTAGCTAGCCAGCTAACTAGCGATTAGCATAAGTGGCTAATATGATTTGTTTTAGCCAGAACTTGCTAATGACAAACTAGCAGACAGTAGTTTTCACACAGTAAGCTACACAAACTAATAGTGTATTTATAGAACGCATATAGAAAGCAGCATCGTTGTCACCAACGTCTTTCTGCATTTATCTGAACATGCAGACTGCAGAGTGAACGACAAGAAAGTGCTCTTGACTCCGTGGTCGAGCAGCTGCTCTCTCCTTGAGTGACGGGGCGGGGCTTGGTGTAGTTAGCGGCATACAGCAAGAGGAGAGGGAGAAAGATGAGTCAAGTAATACCGTTATAGAAGGTAAAGTAAAAACCCAAACCGGTCCGTGCATCAATACCGCTATATAGTAAAATACGGTATACTGCCCAGCCCTACGTCTGTGTATTTGATATGTGCAGTAACTAACACTGTGTCTCCTGTCATCTCTAGCGTCCTGGAATGCCCTCTGGAGCTAGGATGCCCCACCAGGGTGCCCCAATGGGCCCCCCCGGCCCCCCGTACAGTGGGAGCCCTACGGTGCGGCCCGGCCTGCCCACCCCGGTCATGGAGCCCAGCCGCAAGAGACCTGCCCCCTCCCAGCAGAACCAGCAGCAGCAGAACATACAGAACCGGGCCAGAAAGTGAGTCACACGGCCAGGATTCATCCAACCCCCGTCCCCTCTCACCCTGCAACCTAGCCCTCTCTACTCCATGCCTGCCTCTGGTCATGTTTCTGTGTGTAATATCTGCAACTTACCATCTGCATCTATCAGACCAAGTGTTTCTCACTCCTGTGTTGTACTGTGAGTGCTCTCTCTTTCTGTGCTCCCCCTACTGCTTGCTTTAGTATTGCAACCTCGCCACTACTGTCTGACACTGCTCACCCCTTATCTACATTTGGCTGTTAGGTTTAGCCACAGTATGATCTCTGTTTTGTGGTCTGTTAGCTATCAGGGTCAGTATATTGTGGAAAACCATCTACACTCCCCAGAATAAGAGCTAACCTGGGTTATGAGATATAACGCATTGTCTCCACCAAAACAAATCAGTCTATCCCATGAACTGGCTTCTAAAAAGACTTGACAGTGACAAAAACAGTTCCTCAGAACCACACAAACACACACACTGTGTTGTGCTTCACATGTACACCACCGGTCCTGAGTAATTCCTCAGGGAGGCGATTGAGCCAGGTGAAGTTATTAGAGAGTAGATCAATATTCTCTCTCTCTCTCTCTCTCTCTCTCTCTCGTGCAATTGATCCACTCACAATTAAGCAGCCTTGTCAAACAAGGGCCAGGAAAATTGTTGTCCTGTGTCGGCCCTCCACCCCTACCCCCATGGCTCCCTCCCTGTGGTGAGCCTGCCTGATCGATGGCCCAGGGTGACCCAGTAGGTGACACTCTCTCTGGCAAAGCGTATGCTTGTCCTCTGGCAGCCGACAGCCCCCTCCCCAGCCAACAGCCCAGCAGAGCACAGCCACCTGTGTTTGCAGTGTCATTGAGACCGTATGGCTATTGGGTAGATCCACCCGAGCTCACCCTGTCGAGCCAGTGCTTTTCTACCCATACAAATCTGCCACTGCTACTAAAAATAAGGCATATTCAAATGTCAATTTACAGAGATGCTAGAAATAGTTTTGTGTAATTGCAGTCGAGTCAAAGATCAGTTTTAATTAGGTACTTTTTTCAGTGTAGTCAATAGGATGTTTTTCGCAGAGAATTATAGGACAATCCTATAATTTGTGAAAAAGCTTCAGGTGCAGCTGAAGCACCATCGAGATTCAACTATACCTTGCACATAGAAAACCCATAAAGACTATAGACCTACATAGAAGCAATCAGATATGCCCAGTTTGCCCACACACTACTTTTATCAATACTACCTGGATCCTAGTAGGACTAGAGGTGGTGTTTTTGCTTCTCTGTCACTCCTTTTTCCACGGTGTGCTAGTCTGTGCCTTAGTACCAGTGTGTTCATTACCAGTGTGTCTGCTTGTTATTAGTGTGCCATCTAAACACTGAAACACTGAAGTGAGTGAAGCATGATTCCCCACTGTCCAATGAGAACCTTTCCCTGCTGGACAAGCGTCCAATGAGACCCCCGGATCCACTGATCACCAGGATCCACTATGTCCTCCTCTCTCACTTTGCGTGTGCATGCACACAGATGCACCCCCACACTGATGCCTGTACATACTACCGCCACACTTGCACCGATACTAACGCACCCTCACTTACACAGACAAACACACGACCACCGAGTTTGTCCTTCAGTACAGACATCCTGCTTGCTGCCACCAGTGTGTTGTCACACCAACCAACCTCTTTAATCGGACAACCTTCAAATCACATCAACCCTTAGGAAGCCAGTGGGATTCCCTGGAGCCAATGAGATGCCAGTGAGGCAGATGGACATGAGAGATGCCCAATCAGATCCAACGCTCGGATCAAAGTAGGAGTTTATTCTGCTGCATGTCCGTTTTTTTCACACGTTTTTACTCGCCACCCTGCCCTGCCCTGCCCTCTCCCCTGACCCCCAACCCCAGCACTTCCTAGTGTAGGCTTAGTCACCCCACCCCCAAATGTTACCCCAAACAAACCCCTATGTTTGTCTCCCCATGAGGAAAGCTTTACCAGGTGTTCATTAGGGTACCTCCAAATGTGCAGATGCATGCCTTAGACTGAAGCATGGCATGATGGGAACAAATTATGCTGTAAGTGTCTCTTTTAGGAATGTCAGCAACACCAAAGGATGCCCCAACACCTCTTTTATCAACTTTGTTTTTTCTGTTTTGGCTCGATGTGATGTTTTCATAGTCTCTTTAGGGTTGTGATTCCCAGTATATGACCCTCAGATCCCTTTGAAATGTAACCAAGCCAGCCCCCGATGTTGCTCTAATGTGTTTCAGCATTTGGCCTGTTAACATACCCTAATTATTTTGCCCTGGCCTGTTAAAATATTTCAGAGTGAGACTGAGGTCCCTGCTTTGTGTGGCAATGTCTAATACAGTTTGACAGTACTCCCATATCCTCACACTATATCTGTCCCAACCATTAGATTATACGTCTGTCTCCGTCCTATGGTGCACTTAATACAGGGCTTCCAAAATGGCTTCCCTCAACCAGACATACTGAGGAAGCTTGAGAGAGCACAAACCTATGACACTATTTCAAACTTGTTCTCTCAAATCAGTGTCTGGGCCCAATATTAACAATGCACCACTGTTCCGGGAATAACCGATTCGTAACAAAAGCATAATGCAAGCCAAGTGTCACTGAGGAGTGACAGACTGCAGCTGCAGAACCTAACTAGATAGGAAAGTAGAGTCCGAAGGCATCATAATCATACCAGCACACCTCATTTGCCTTAGCTGGGACCCTTGGTAAGTAATCCATCAGGTGTCGTAACACAAATTATGTCCAAGACAAGAAATGAAAATATTTATCCATATCTTTTCAATATTCTTTCATACCCAAAGAATTTGACAAGTATGCTACTGAAAGGTTCCCTTATGGAAAAAAAACACATGATTTCAAATGGAAAATCGCATGTTTTGTGAAATCATGTGAAACCATGTGATTTTGGAACACTTCACATGTGATGATATTTCACGTGATCACATAACCTTTCACATGAGATTTCACAGGTAATGCCCTGCAAACACAACTGAGTCATTATGGTACACACACAGTGCTTTTAACGTAGTGTTTTCAACGTACATATTTTACACACTTTGACTTACATGAGACTACATTGTGTATGTTAATTTATACAGTAATCCTCACTTGGGATTTGAACTCTTGGTTCACAGCATTCCGATATTTCTGTTACTCCACCATGTCCGTGTCAATAGTTGATTTCACCTGTATTTCTACACTTTGGACTTCAAAGTAAATCTCAGTTTTGTTAAAAATACACTCAAGAAAAACTATTATATTTATCATAGCGATTCAAGAGTAACATTAAAACAGAATATGCCCCACCAACATTGGACAATGGTGATTTTCCACATGTGAAATCCTGTGGTTTTTCCATAAGGGCAATGACATTCTTGGAATGTTGTCATGGTCCCCTGGAGGTTTTTGTCTAGTTCAAATGTTGTCACGTGTGGTTTCACGGTATTACATGTTGACATTTTGAATCACCAAGTTGTAATCTTTCCCCCACATGAGGTCATGTTTTCACATGTGTAGTTACATGTTATCACATGTTGCTTTTACATGTCACATGTTATCACATGTTGCTTTTACATGTTATCACATTAACTTTACATAAGATCAAAAGGGTTATAGGCGACTATATTTTTCTCCTCATCGGAAAGAAGAAAGTTGGATTCAGAAGCTGTTATTGGTGGTCACATAGCAAATTGGGCTCCTGAGATGGCCACAGTTGGCATAGCAGCCAACACTCACTAACATACACACGATCTACAATATCAATAAAGAGAAGGCTATGCGGTACATTGGATGGTATAGCATGAGTCATGAGGTATTTCATGTGTCACTTTGAATGTCACTAGTTCCTGCTCTCCAGGTGGCATACCTTACTCCTACCTCTGCTGGATCCCCCAAAACACACACATCCGCATTGCGTACACACACACATACACACACACATGCGCACCACATACACACACACACACAAATACACACACCACTCAGCCCACACACACACACACAGCTGGGACACTGGGGTGCTGGATGTGGCCCAGCATTTTAGCAGATGGCCTGGGTGCTACGCTATCAGTCACCATAGTAACATGCTCTCTTTTTCCATTTTCTCTCTGTCTTTCTCTCCCTCTGTAGCGCCAAGAGAAGGAAAATGGCAGACAAGATTCTTCCACAGAGGGTGAGATTGCATATATTTGTCTTTTTTTCCCATTACTCGAGTGTTTGCGTGTTATTATCCATTCTCTGTTGAATAGAACGTGTGTGTGTGCGTGTGTTTTGATCTAAGGGCTTGGAGGGGCAGATGATTATGTGTTATTACAAATGGAGCGAAAAGAGATGCTTGGGTGATCAGAGGCTTGGCGCAGGCTTGGCGGTGGGTGCCGTTTTTGAATGGTTCCTCTTATTTTCAAATGGAATAATCAATAGACTGCTATGAAACAGAGCCCGTATAAAACAACCCTATGGTTTAGAAGAGGCAATAGAGTAGGCACATCTTCTCCACAGGTGAGGGTGTGTCTAGTGTGTGGTCCGCGTCAGGGCTAAACAAACCCACATCTAGCCGATATCCTCTGCCTGCCTGCGCCACAACCTCCGCTCTCCCCTCCATGCCCCCCTGCCCCGTCTCAGCCCTGCCCAGCCTGTTTACATTGGTTGGCCATTGATTTTTGTAAAGACTGCTGCTGGTGTCACTGGACTGGAGCCCCAAGCTGCTCCCAGTCGCTCCTACGGGTGTCTCTGTAACACAAGCCAGACACAGAGAATGGAGATAGTGGCATGGCTCAGCCACCACACCGATGACTCAGGGACAGGGAATGTCCGCACTGCATTCTGTCTGCACTGCACCTCAACCTGGTGACAGACAGACAGACAGGCAGGCAGGCAGGCAGGCAGGCGCAGGCAGGCAGGCAGGCAGGCAGGCAGACAGACAGACAGACAGACAGACAGACAGACAGACAGACAGACAGACAGACAGACAGACGCATGTAGAGAAGGAATGAGATGAGATGGTCGAGGGAACAATGAAGGGAGAAACAGATAATGCAGTGGGAGAATCTGGGAGTCTGTGCCCAGTTTGGTAAGCAGCCTTGCCACTGTGCGGAGTCCCTCCATCTGGGAATGAGTATGGTAATGTGTCAGGGAGGGTAGGGGCAGGTTGGGTAGGGGTGGGGTTTGCGCTGATGCACCCGCTGCATTTCAAATGCGGTCTTAGCAGCACCAAAGGCCAGACTGGTGCACCAATTAGTGAGTGGTGCTGGGCAGTCACAGCTCCTATGGGCACTACTTCCTGCTCTGTCGCCTTCATTAGGTGTGTCACTCCTGTAATAGAAGGACAAAAAGATTTTGAGGGAAAATGGCGGCTTGAGAGACTACAGTCACCGCTGCAGTGCAGTCACCAGACATGCTATGATCGCAGAATGCCTTATCTTAATAAAACCAAAGCTTAAACGCATAACTCAGTCAATACCACAACTTATTGTCACATTCATATTTTTTTCAGTGCAATTTTACTGGATAATAGGATTTTTGTTCTTCTAAAGCAATAAAGGGCATTAAATATGATAAAGTATATTGTGTGGCCGGTCAGAGACACTAAGAGAGTTATTTGTTGATTCCCCCTCTGATCAGATCCGTGAGCTGGTCCCTGAGTCCCAGGCTTACATGGACCTGCTGGCCTTCGAACGTAAACTGGATCAGACCATCATGCGTAAACGGGTGGACATCCAGGAAGCCCTGAAGAGACCCATGAAGGTAACACATATCATAGGCCTGAAGTATCTCACTACTATAATATACTTTACTGTAGGAGGGGCGGCAGGTAGCCTAGCGGTTAAGAGCATTGGGCCAGTAACCGAAAGGTTTGAATCCCCGAGCTGACAAGGTGGAAGAATCTGCCGTTCTGCCCTTGAGCAAGGCAGTTAACCCCCAACAACAACTGCTCCCTGGGCGCTGATGACTTCGATTAAGGCAGACCCCCGCACCTCTCTGATTCAGAGGGGTTGGGTTAAATTCTGAAACACACATTTCGGTTGAATGCATTCAGTTGTGCAACGGACTAGGTATTATTTTTCCCTATACTATAATACTATCAAATAAAATAAAATAAAATGTTATTGGTCACATACACGTGTGTAGCGAAATGCTTGTGTTTCTAGCTCCGACAGTGCAGTAATATCTAACAAGTAATATCTAACAATTTCACAACCTATACCCAATACACACAAATCTAAGTAAAGCAACTGAATTAAGAATATATAAATAAATATATGGACGAGCAATGTCAGAGTGGCATAGACTAAGAATGCTGGTAGTGCTGGTGACTTACCGCCGCTCTGATATCCAATAGTTCTTCCCGGCTGTATGTAATAACACAAACAGTTTTTTGGGCTAATAACATAATACAAAATAAAAAAAATAAAAAAATACTGCAAAGTTTCCTAAGAGCTAGAAGCAAGGCAGCCCTCTCTGTCGGCGCCATTTTCCATACTATGACCTTTGAACAATGTAACATGAAACATCTCTGTATTTTCCTCTAGTACCAAGGTGCCCAAGACTGATGTGTATAGAAATGACCACTGGTTCCAACAGTGTCTTTGTGTTTGTGTCGACAGCAAAAGCGTAAACTGAGGCTGTACATCTCCAACACCTTCAACCCTGCCAAGCCCGACGCTGACGACTCGGATGGCAGTATTGCATCATGGGAGCTGCGGGTTGAGGGGAAGCTGCTGGATGATGTGAGTATTCTACTTCCTGTAGGACGATGGAATATCACTGGATCAATTCATAGTGATTGGCTTGTTTGATTTTATTTAGAAAAGTTCCTATTTTCCTCTCATTGTGAAGTCTCCTCTATGGATATTATGAACGGTTTCTTTTGAACTGTATCTCTACCACTAAGTCAGTTATCTCCTCAGGACATACACTGCTCAAAAAAATTAAGGGAACACTTAAACAACACAATGTAACTCCAAGTCAATCACACTTCTGTGAAATCAAACTGTCCACTTAGGAAGCAACACTGATTGACAATAAATGTCACATGCTGTTGTGCAAATGGAATAGACAACAGGTGGAAATTATAGGCAATTAGCAAGACACCCCCAATAAAGGACTGGTATTGCAGGTGGTGACCACAGACCACTTCTCAGTTCCTATGCTTCCTGGCTGATGTTTTGGTCACTTTTGAATGCTGGCGGTGCTTTCACTCTAGTGGTAGCATGAGACGGAGTCTACAACCCACACAAGTGGCTCAGGTAGTGCAGCTCATCCAGGATGGCACATCAATGCTGTGTCTGTCAGCGTAGTGTCCAGAGCATGGAGGCGCTACCAGGAGACAGGCCAGTACATCAGGAGACGTGGAGGAGGCCGTAGGAGGGCAACAACCCAGCAGCAGGACTGCTACCTCCGCCTTTGTGCAAGGAGGAGCAGGAGGAGCACTGCCAGAGCCCTGCAAAATGACCTCCAGCAGGCCACAAATGTGCATGTGTCTGCTCAAACGGTCAGAAACAGACTCCATGAGGGTGGTATGAGGGCCCGACGTCCACAGGTGGGGGTTGTGCTTACAGCCCAACACCGTGCAGGACGTTTGGCATTTGCCAGAGAACACCAAGATTGGCAAATTCGCCACTGGCGCCCTGTGCTCTTCACAGATGAAAGCAGGTTCACACTGAGCACGTGACAGACGTGACAGAGTCTGGAGACGCCGTGGAGAACGTTCTGCTGCCTGCAACATCCTCCATCATGACTGGTTTGGCGGTGGGTCAGTCATGGTGTGGGGTGGCATTTCTTTGGGGGGCCGCACAGCCCTCCATGTGCTCGCCAGAGGTAGCCTGACTGCCATTAGGTACCGAGATGAGATCCTCAGACCCCTTGTGAGACCATATGCTGGTGCGGTTGGCCCTGGGTTCCTCCTAATGCAAGACAATGCTAGACCTCATGTGGCTGGAGTGTGTCAGCAGTTCCTGCAAGAGGAAGGCATTGATTCTATGGACTGGCCCACCCGTTCCCCAGACCTGAATCCAATTGAGCACATCTGGGACATCATGTCTCGCTCCATCCACCAACGCCACGTTGCACCACAGACTGTCCAGGAGTTGGCGGATGCTTTAGTCCAGGTCTGGGAGGAGATCCCTCAGGAGACCATCCGCCACCTCATCAGGAGCATGCCCAGGCGTTGTAGGGAGGTCATACAGGCACGTGGAGGCCACACACACTACTGAGCCTAATTTTGACTTGTTTTAAGGACATTACATCAAAGTTGGATCAGCCTGTAGTGTGGTTTTCCACTTTAATTTTGAGGGTGACTCCAAAGAGTGGTCCTCTGTAGCTCAGCTGGTAGAGCACGGCGCTTGTAACGCCAAGGTAGAGGGTTCGATCCCCGGGACCACCCATACACAAAATAAATGTATGCACGCACGACTGTAAGTCGCTTTGGATAAAAGCGTCTGCTAAATGGCATATTATTATTATTATTATAAATCCAGACCTCCATGGGTTGATACATTTGATTTCCATTGACAATTTTTGTGTGATTTTGTTGTCAGCACATTCAACTATGTAAAGAAAAAAGTATTTAATAAGATGATTTCATTCATTCAGATCTAGGATGTGTTATTTTAGTGTTCCCTTTATATTTTTGAGCAGTGTATTTTATCTGGCAGGTTGACGTTTATTGTGATGAGTCTTGTCCTGGAGGCAGAACTGAGCGATTTTGTAGAAATTCATGAAAACTAGCCTTTTGGTCTTAATTTAAGGTTAGGGTTAGGCATTAGGGTTAACAGTGTGGTTAGGGTTAGATTTAAAATCAGATTTTATGACTTTGTGACTTTGCCAGCTTGTGACCACTCTGGACAGCTGCCTCCAGAACAGGATTCATGACAAAAAATGCTAACCTTCTATTTTCTGGGGGTTGATATTTATTTGAATGTGGCAGCATGGTGGGTTGAATTGACTTTTCACCACAGTGAAATACCTTCAAAAAAATCTGCGGCCATGTCTTAATCCTTCAACCAAGTATGAATATTTCTAGCTCTTTGATCCAGGAGCTGCTTTGTGGAGTGTTTGCCCCACAGTCATGGACGGCAGTCGGGTATAGTTCTAACTTATCTTCACAACTCCACCGTCGGCCGACTTCAGTCAGCAACAAGATGTGTTTGTTTTGTTAGGCCTTCGGAGGAATGATCAATGTTTCGCTAAATGTTTGCACAGATTATGCCTGAAACAGGAACAGCAAGATGACCATAGATTGCTTTCGCAGAGTAAGATCGACTTCAAATGGTGGCTCAACTCTAATTCTCTCATCTGTTTCGAGGCAGGGCTGTCATTTCACAGTGGTTGGGACCATTTTGAGGTTTCTGAGCCCACAAATATTTTTGGTCCACTTTTAAGGAAGTGGACCCTGAGAATATCCTGTTTTCACATTGTGGCCTAGTGCCTACAGTAAATACGATGATATCACTGCTTTGGTGTCCTAGAAATGTTGCTATAGTCAATGACAACAGTATATCAAGTTATCTAAGGCAGGTGTTAAACAGTAGTGCATAGGGGTCTAGTTGGAATCACTCCTGGAGACTGATTTTCAGTAACCAGGAAACAAACAAGGACCTAGCCCAAAGGCCAGCAGATGGCGTTATTGAGTCGTTTCATCTTACCGTCCAAAGGGAATGCATGCAGCCGGCTACACTCGTTTCCCCCGTGGACCGGTTTGTACATAAAACATTCTCTATTCAGGCTGCAAAGGAATCCATTTCTTTCTTAACACGATTTAATGTTGAGAAAGCGGAAAAAATGGAGAAAATATGCATACTTTCTTTATGAAACATCATGCTAGAGTGGCTAATGCTACTTCCTGATGTTGCGCCCCGCGTTCAACCAGGGTTAAACAACAGACTGCTGCAACCTGATTGGCTGAATGCGATAAGCAACATCCGGAACTAGCATTCCTAGGCATTAGCCACTCAAGCATGGTGGTGAAAAATGCTGTTTCATAAAGAAAGTACGCATATTTCCCCATTTTTTTTCCACCTTCTCGACATTAAATAGAGTTAAGGAGGAAATCGACGCCTTTGCAGCTGAATGGAAAATATTTTATGTACGAACCGGTCCACAGAGTGTTTAGTCTAGATTCATTCAGATCCACCGTTAACCGGCACTCTTGTGATCACTGTCACGAAGCCACACCTTTCCCACTCGTGTTAGAAGTTCAGAATGAGAAAGTGTAGGCTATATAGAAATAATGACGCTCAAATTGAAAGTCATTCAACAAAATAATGAGGATTTCTATCAGCCTAATCAAGGTGTAGATTACATCACACATTCCAGTATTCAAACTTGTAAACACGGCTGCATGGGATTCCTACTAATGCGACTCCCTGCAGGCAATGGCAATGTCCACGATAGCTATAATGCCGGGAGCTGCTAGTGGATTTGACAGCTCTAACAAGGTTCCACCTCTGACTCCGTCAAAACACCAGCTAGCGCAAAACACCATTGGCTAGCTCAAATCTGATTGAATCGTGCCCAATGTCAGACTACAAAAAACTGCTTTACAAAGTGGGGAAACCCTATCTACAATGTAAACATGTTTGCGTGTGAGTTTGTCGATGTTATACACTTCAAATGTTCATATCAGCCCAAATGTTCCATCCATGTTAAACTATTTCACCACCTCTCTTTATTTCGTAGCCTGGGAAGCTGAAGAGGAAATTCTCCTCCTTCTTCAAGAGCCTGGTGATTGAGCTGGACAAAGACCTATACGGTCCTGACAACCACCTGGTAGAGGTGAGTTCATGTTCCCTGATGACCGCTGACCGTATACCTGCACCCTCTGTCCTCTCTGTCTCACTCTCCTCTCCTCTACCCTGTCTGTGTTCCGCCCATAGAAATAGAATGAGAATGGAATGTATTTTTTGTAATGTCAGTTGAGGACACTTCGTGCTTTACTGCTTTGGGGACCCTCAAAATGTCCCCCAGTCCACTCATTATGGCATAATTAACCTGAATGAGGACGTCCGTTCTATTCAATCTAATTCTATGGTCTTCAGCCTCATCCAGATCTATTCAGCAGATTTTGGGCAAACAAGGGGTTAACCATAGTCTTTAACCACTAAAGACTCTTGGGATCTTATCTTTAGTTACAATGCAGCTCACAATGTACACTCCCCTGTACAAGATTAGGCCATTGGCTAGTTATGATTCTGAGAAAATAAATACACTACCCACTGGGCACACACTGGTTGAATCACATTTTTTTCAATGTAATTGACAATGTAACGTATTGTGACGTGGAATCAACGTGGAAAATACATTCGATATGAAAAAAGTAATCAACCAGTACTGTTTTCGTCTCATTTCAACCAGCGTTGTAAACTTTGAAATTAGGGTAAACTTCAACTTAAATACATTGACTTAACCTGACTTACAGGTTGTTACATCAATCTAGTTTCAATATAATAATCAGAACTATGTATATGTTGAAATTTTGTTGAAAATTCCACATAGAAACGTTTAAAAACGTTTTCATCCTAAATTCAATATATATTCGGGTGGTTGAAATTATGTTGAATTGTATATTTGATTTGACAGATTTGATTTGACCTTGTTTCAATGTTGATAGTAAAATGGTGTGTTTGAATCAAAGTCATTGTTTCAAGGTCATGCCATCAACCTAAATGAAGTGGCATATTGAAATAAAATGTGAAGCCACAGTCCAACGATTTCATGTTGAACGGTGACACCTACTGGTATATGAGGGGTAATGCATGCACTTTAGTGAGAGCAAGTCTACCATCCAGATGCCTACCTCTAGGTCAGGGGTGTCAAACTCATTTTAGCTCAGGGGCCACATGGAGGAAAATCTATTCCCAAGTGGGCCGGACCGGAAAAATCATGGTATATATAACTTAAAAACAACAACTTCAGATTGTTTTCTTTGTTTTAATACGATCAACATACAACATAAAGCTGGAGCCTGAGGACAGTGTGTCCAAAATAGTACAAGCACAACATCACTATTAATCATAAAACACGTCAAGTTTATTTGAAAATTCTAAAGAAAAAGAACACACAATGCCTCAGTGATTAACAGAACTGTTTCACAGATCACAGAACTATATCAGGGTGTCATTTCTCAGGCAGAAATGTAGATACAAATAATGAAATCCTGTTCCCCAAACAAGTGCAAGAACCACAGAGTCAAGAATAGGTTAAATATACAAATAAAATAAAATCAATTAAAAACAATAGCACATCAACATAAAAACATATAAACATAAAGCTGGAGCCTGAGGACAGTGTCCAAAAGCACAACATCACTATTAATCATAAAACACCTCAAGTTATTTGAAAGTTCTGAGGACAAAGAACACACAAACACACAATGCCTCAGTGATTAACAGAACTGTTTCACAGATCAGAGAACTATATCAGGGTGTCATTTCTCAGGCAGAAATTTAGATAAAAATAATGAAATCCTGTTCCCCAAACAAGTGCAAGAACCACAGAGTCAAGAATAGGTTAAATATACAAATAAAATAAAAACAATTAAAAACAATAGCACATCAACATAAAAACATATAAACATAAAGCTGGAGCCTGAGGACAGTGTCCAAAAGCACAACATCACTATTAATCATAAAACACCTCAAGTTATTTGAAAGTTCTGAGGACAAAGAACACACAAACACACAATGCCTCAGTGATTCACAGAAGTATATCACAGATCACAGAACTATATCAGGGTGTCATTTCTCAGGCAGAAATGTAGATAAAAATAATGAAATCCTGTTCCCCAAACAAGTGCAAGAACCACAGAGTCAAGAATAGGTTAAATATACAAATAAAATAAAATCAATTAAAAACAATAGCACATCAACATAAAAACATATAAACATAAATCTGAAAGCGTTGCTCAAACTCTCGTAACAGTCCCGTTATTTTATCTTTGAACCGCTTCATGTCTGCCACATGTTGGGTCGCGCACACATTTTTCAGACAGGGGAAGTGAGCTGCATCACCACCGGCAAGTTGCGTCTCCCACAATGACAGCTTCAACTTGAAAGAACGTATGCTGTCATAATACTGCGTGACAACTTTGTTGCGCCCTTGCAGCTGTTTGTTCAAGTTATTCAGGTGCTCTGTAACATCCACCATAAATGCAAGGTCCTGCATCCATTCTGCGGAATGAAATTCTAACACTGGTTTGCCCTTTTCTTCCATGAACTGTTCAATTTCTTCTTGTAAATCAAAGAAACACCTCGGCTTAACCATCTTACCTCAGTGTGGTATGGCAGGCCATAGATGTGGTCTTTCTCTCTGAGAAGGCTGTCAAACTGACGGTGATTCAGGCTTCTGGATCGGATGAAATTAACAGTTTGGATGACCACCTTCATGACGTTATCCATCTTTAATGACTTGCAACACAAAGCCTCCTGGTGCAAAATACAGTGAAAAGTCAAAAAATCACGTCCTCCATTTGCAGATTGCACTTTCTCTCTGAACTTTGTCACAACGCCTGCTTTTTTCCCGATCATTGAGGGCGCACCATCTGTAGCCAGGTTGACAGCGCGGGACCAGTCCACTCCGACCCTGTCCAGCGCGCCGACGAGTGCGGTAAAAATATCAGCTGCTGTCGTTGTATCTGTCATCGGCACCAACTCCACGAACTCCTCGGTGACGGTCAATGTGTCATCAACTCCGCGGATGAAAATGGCCAGTTGTGCAACATCTGTAATGTCCGTGCTTTCATCAATTGCAACCGAAAACGCAATAAATGACTTTACTTTTTGCTTCAACTGGCTGTCCAAATCCACTGAAAGATCGGAAATCCTGTCTGCAACTGTGTTTCTTGTCAGGCTGATATTTGCAAAAGCCTGCCGCTTTTCAGGGCACACAATCTCCGCTGCCTTCATCATGCATGTTTTTACAAATTCACCCTCACTAAAGGTTTTGAAGCCACTGCGATTTCATTAGCAATGAGGTAGCTAGCTTTCACTGCAGCGTCACTGATGTCTCGGCTGTGAGTAAACACAGACTGCTGTTTCTTCAGGCCCGCCAACAGTTCATTCACCTTCTCTCATCTCCGCTGTCCTTGAAAGTTGTCATATTTGTCGGCATGAAGACTCACATAGTGGCGACGAAGGTTATATTCTTTCAGCACTGCAACATGCTCTGAACACACCAAACATACAACTTTCCCATTCAATTCCGTGAATAAATAGGATGACCATTTTTCTTGGAACACTCTGCACTCTGCGTCCACTTTTCTCTTTTTTGACAGAGACATATTGGGGCAATGAGGGTGCCAAAGCACATAATGTTAAAAGTAGAAGCCGTAATAAATATCGCGGGCAAAACAAAGTAGCTCATTGGCTGCACGTGCTTGACCTACTTGCTCTGCCCTGGTATAAACAGTTTGCTTGCTTAACACAATTGCTATTGCGCCATCCAGTGGACGCAATTGGAACAGCAGTTTATTTAATTGAAAAATTGCAGCGCATTTTTATACTTTACACATTTTTTTATTTTTTTTATTATATATTTTTTATTATTATTTTTTTTCAAAATCATCTCGCGGGCCGGATTAAACCCGTTTGCGGGCCTGATCCGGCCCGCGGGCCGGACGTTTGACACCCCTGCTCTAGGTACTCTGCTTAGCTTTGGAAACAAGCTGTGTACGTTTCAGCTGAGCTATCACATTTAGACATTGATCAGCATCCATAGTCATTTGCGTAGACTACCTAAATAACATTGAATAGTTGAAAGTAACTCCTAACTTTTCATACACAGGCTGTATGTGAATGTCAATTCGGAGTGAGGTTAGGTTTATGTAGGTTACATTGACATCTGATTTGCCCAACAAAGGACACCATCATGTTGGTACTATTTCTGAGTATTTAAAACCTTTGTCATCTGAATTAGTCATTTTAGGGAATTTTAACTTAGATTGACTTACCCCGGCCTCAGACCATTTAAAGAATATTTTTCTTGACTTTAACCTGACTCAACTGATTGCAAAACCCACACGGAGTAATAAAAAATCCAGCAAACTTCTCACTGACTGACCTAATTCTAACAAATAACCCCCACAAGTACTTGTCTAGGGGTGTCTTTGCTAATGATCTCAGTGATCACTGTCCTATCACTGTATTAGAGATACCAAACGGATTAGCACTGTTCCTCGTATAATTATGAAGATAAATTTTTCCCCACAAGCTTTTCTTCATGATTTGTATTACCCTGACCTTTCCTCTATCAGCTGCATGCCTGACCCTGAATTAGCTCTACAATTGTTCTCATCTATTTTTCTCACTCTGGCAGACAAACACGCTCCCTTTGAACAAATCCTTGGTTCACTATAGAACTTTCAGATCTTGTTATAATGAAAAATCAGGCCTGGGCCAAGGTTAGAAAAACTGACTGTAGCTGTTTGGAAGCATTTCAGCTAATTGAGAAATAGATGCAATTCCTCAATCAAGAAAGCGAAATCTTGTCACGTTGTATACTGATAGAAGACAGACGCAGGAATATGTAGTTTATTACTCAACTCAACATAAGGTACGTCATTGAAAACGACGTGGACGAAGCCCAAAACAAACACGGATATATATAACACAGGGATGTAACCCAAACAAAAGAGCGAGGTGTAAACTTCTAAATAATACACAGGATGAGACCCGTAATAACAAGTGCACAATTACTCGGCATGTAAACTGTAATACAATGTACTCATGAGACCAATGGACATGGGACAATAATCAACAAGGACAATGGGGAACAGAGGG